ACGTTCTTTCGATTGCCGCTTACCGCGTGTCGCAACGTGGCCCAGGAGCCGAGTTAGAAGGGGGGGGGTGTTCAGACACCCCCCTCCCCCGGCCCGGCACGGAATCTCAGAGCACCGGCCCAGCGCGGGGTAACATGTTACGTACGAAGGCACCAAAACTACTTCGTAAATGTTAAAATGGTTGCTAAATTCGAATTCAGCTCCAGAAACCAGCCCGGAAACATATAAACTCAAAAAAAGAGAGCCGAGGTCATCAAAGGTCAATGACCTGACCTGACCTTCAGATGACCTTGGCACCAGGCCTTATGCATGGGACCAGCATCATATCACACGTTTGAACGCTTGAAACCACGAAAAGACTGCAAACACGCGGCTAATGCGAGCCGACATACGCCGAATTGCGTTTCCGGCCAAACATAGTCTTGAGAAATAAGTCACAGGTCACAAAGGTCATTTGGGTCAGGGTCATGAAATTTTTAGGGTAGGTGTAAAATTGATTAACGCGAGGGTATTGGAAGTTTCGTCGCGATCGGCCGCTTTTTACGCGAGTTATTCGCGAGAAACCGAGGGGGTCCGTTCGCCCCCCCCCCCTCGATACAGGCAAAAAAAATGTTTGTTCTACTCCAGCCTGCAACTCGCTGGACTGTTCTTCCATCATGCTAAGAAACCTGATGGAAAATATTGTACCTATATTTATCATCAAAGCAATCATCATCAAAGCTCCAGGCCAAAAAAGATTATGTAAGCAATAATGTTCTAGCAAGAACAATCTTCATTGAAATGTCAATGAAAGAAGTTTAAATTGTTTATGGTGCATTCTTGTTTATTTCATCTGCTCAGGGCTGCAATGTCTAACAGGTCAATAAAAGAGAAAATGGCAGGGATTTGCCAAACTTCAAAGCATGCCTGTCAATTCTCACCAATGTGAGCCAGCTAACTTGTAGTATATTCAGGTGGTTGCCATAGGATAACTGTGGCAGCCAGTTTCCAACAAAGCTACTCAGGCAGAGCTGATAATGACAATGAATATGAACTTGACAGATGAAGTGCTGTGACCACACCCTGCCTAAATGCTCCAAGCATATGGAACCTTCTCTTGATGAGCTATCATAGAATGAAAGAATCAACATTTATATTGAATATGCCTGATAACCTAGTGTCACTTCCTGCCAACCTTCTCCATTTAATCCTGATTGGATCTAGGCAAGGTATGCAGGGCCTTTGGATGCATAAAAGGGTGAATTTGTGTGTGCTTATGTCAAGATTCAAGAACCAGTTTTCATTGTGTGATTTAATGAAATCAAGCAGCCTGCATGTCTGTTTCATTTCTTACATATTTCTCAAAATATTATGAAAAATGTTTCAAAATTCATGATTTTCTAAGAGGAAAAAATGAGACTTCCTAAAAGTTTAGACTGGTTTATAGGCCTATGTTTTAGTTGGGTGAATTTAATTGAAAAATGAAGTGCACCCATGTGAAAAATGTATTTGTATTGGTAGCTTTTGTGAAACTCAAGTTGGGCCATAGAAAATTCCTTGGTATATCAATAATTTATGTTGACCACATAAAATGTTACATTTTAAGCAATGAATTACAGTGGGCAACATTCTCAAGCATTGGGAAAACGAAAATTGAAGGTCGCAGATCACATTTTGATGAATTTTTCTGTGGCATCAAGCACTTGTGAAGTTCAACAGAAATAGAAAGGATACTGATAGGTGCTTAGATGTTATAGGCATAGTTCAACAATCACACAATATACTGAAAATATAGAACAAATGAGATAAAAATGAAAGTAGGTCAAAATTCAGGTCTTTTGTAAGAAAGCAATAATTTATTTTGAGCTGGTGGCTGTCAATGCTGTATTTTTCTTTAAAGGAAATAGTTCACTTTCCTGAAATTAGTATTTTGCTATGGATTTATGTTTTTTTATGCTCAAAATGATCAGAAAATAAAACAAAACGTTTTTGTAAAAAGGATTATTTTCTACATTTTAGTATCAGAAGAACTATATTCTATATAAAATAATGTTTGACGCGGAAGCTTATTACGCGTTGACCAATCATATTGCGTAGGACAAACCCATCGGCTGTAAGCAGCATTCTGATTGGCTGACGATGACGTGACTGCATTCCTCAGCAAGGCACGCATTCCTCTGCAAGGCACTCTTTTCGGAACGAAAAATGTAATATCTTCGTCTAGGGTGATCGTTGGGCCGTAAAAGCTTCTGATTTGTGCTAGTCTCAGCGCAAGCAACAAAACTGCTATTCCAGTTCAAAACCCCATGTCAAAAGTGAACTATTTCCTTTAACATAACCTCAGAATGCATTGATATAAGCTACATATTGCAAAATATCAAAATGTTATGTTGGGAAAATGCAAAGGGCATCGGTGAGCACCGTCAAACAAAGACATCACAACTTTTCGATGCAAAACCATGCGATAAAGGATACAATTTAATGACATCAGTGTCCATCCTCTTCTTTCCTGCACTTGGAGAAGACATCTTGACCAAAAAAGTGTCACAAACCGTAAAAATTTATCTTGCCCCTCAGGGCCTCTTCCTGTAAAACGACTCAGGAGCCAACCACCTTCAAGGCCACAGAAACGCAACACAATGAGGACAGCGGAGCCAGCGGAGGAAGCCAGCTGCGCAACGATCGGACCATTTCAGGGCACATTTCCAAATAACTGAAACATCCGTGGAAATTGTATTGGTATGTTAGCAAAACTGTATCAAATATACATTGTACGAAGACTAGTCCGTGTTTTAGAATAGAAATATTGTCCCTTTGTCAAAAATAATGCCAATAAATCTTCAAATTTGCTTGTCATTGCTGAGAACCGTTCCGTTATTGAAGGATGCTCTACCAAGAGCTGTACCACGTGACCAGTCAGCTGGTCGAAGTAAACAAACCGTGGGAAAAATATAAAAGAGGCAATATTACGAAATTGACAAGTACGTTGAATGATCTTGCAACGAATATGTATGGTTCGACATGTTTTTTATAACCAATCATAACTGCGATTGGTGCTGTTGGCGCTGCATGGATGCATGATCCATCATTCCTTCACTCGGAAGCAAAAATCTGCCGCCGCCAGCTTTGTCATGACCAGACACACACACATTTTTGCTCTTGGTCTCTGGCAATGCAAACATTTGTAACAAAGCTGACCGTGAGCTTCCACCTGTTTACCGATGTTGGACGTTTTGAAAAAGTGTAGAGATGTCAGAGGGGATTAATCAACAGAAGATAAAGCGATTACTTTTACCCGAATGAGCGAATCATGGATGTCTGATATACCTAACTAACCAAATAAAATGTTAAACATAAGATATATTAGCTCGAACATTTTCACTTCCACAACTCATACAATATCACAAGATGCAATGAATGGTCATAGATCGATTCAAAGCGATATTTAAACGGCAGACCAACACAAATAGGGCTCAGCATGAGCTGACGAAAGATGTAACGAAATGCAGAAGCGTGTGAAACGGGATGAAAGACTCTACGCGATAACAAACAAGTGGCCAGAACAAAGCCACAACTTGTGGCTTCTCGGAGTCTTCAACTAATGCATGGTTGTACAATGCAATATATTGAGCAGCGGCAGTGATAGATTGCAAGACGGGCATAGCCATATCGTCATCGTGTTATATCGTTGGCAGATCACACAGGTCACACAACAGCCAGCACCGCTCGAGACGGACTCACTGAAGAGCTGTACTGACTCCACTCCCCTTATCAGGTGCGCTAACGCCTACGCTCAATCACAGCCAGAGACTCGTCACTGCAGACACCCAGCTTCCGCCCTACGTCTTGTCTCATCTCTTCTCCCATCAGCCCGACTCGATCACTGGCGTCCGCAGATCAGCCTCAGTCGCTGACGTCCGTAAATTGGCCCCCCAGTCACTGGCGCTCGGCCGGCGGCAGACACTCGTACCGCTGGTGCACAGAGCGCACGGTGACGCCGTCCAGCTCAGCTATCCTGCCCATCACCAACTGCGCCGCGTCTTTGATCTCATTGTAGCCGTGCAGCGCGTCAATGTAGAGCGGCAGCTGCTCCGCGCGACACCCAGCCGCCTCCAGACGGGCCAGCTCAGCGTCCGCCGCCGCCAGTGCTGCCGCGAGCGACGAGTCATCTGCGCCGTCCACTGAGGGTGACTCTGACACCGAGTCTGAGCCCGCTACTGCGCCGACTCTGGGGGTGTCTCGTAGGACCGGAGAGGCGGCGCTATCGCCGGTCAGAGGAGTGTCTCCGGCTGGTGGGTAGACCCCACCAGACGTCGAAGTCTCAACACGGCTCGGTGTGCCAGTTAGCAGAGGAGACCGGAACGGGACGGACGCACTCGCCGTGCTCGCTAGTACCGGAGAGGTAGAGTTCGTCTTGCTCGCCGGGGAGGTAGAGCTCGCAGTTGTCGTTTTTCCCGTGGCTGGAGAGGCGCCAGTCCGGTTCGCCAGTAGCGGCGACCGAAACGGCTGCCGGAGCCGGTCCCTCCCGAGCGGTGTGCTCGCCTGGGACCGGCGCCAGGTTCGCGGCGGTCCGCTCATCGCAGCTGCCGGAGGAGAGCCAAGACGATCCTGGAAACGGACATCAGAGTCGGTGAGAGAGAATGCCAAGGGCGATTTCACGGCGTGATACGGTAATGTGGTGAGTTCATGCCAATCACTTTTCACTCAACGAGTAATGGTTTCCTCAGCAGACCCGAGATTGTTCTGAAGACGATACAACGTTAGCCTATGAGCTAACGTTTCAAACGCATTATACGTATACATTTACGTGCGTGCATATTTACGTAAATATGCGGGCCCGTTATCGAGTAAATATTCTATAGTTAGAGGACGTGAATGACTCGTGCCACTTTTACCCATAATGATATTGTCATAGGCAACGTTTAAATTATCCACATACGTGAACCAGCGTCATAATGGATCGATCGAAGCGGAGAGGAACTAAGAGCGTTTTTTTCAGTGATTAACACAGAAAAAGATGCTACGAACAACAGCTTGTATTGGTCTTACAGTTCAAACTTCAAAGCGGTGACAATCCATATTCAAGTGATCAAACACCAAATTCCTTTAGAACGCATTTTCTTTAGGTCAAAACAGTCTCCCAAATACATTACTTACTTCAATCGGGAATCGGGATAGGCCCCACACACTCGGTTCCATACCCGAAATTGGTCGCTCCTACGGCATAAAAAGCGCAATGTCGTGAAAAGCGAAGTGTTCACTTTTGACTTTGACTTTTGACTTGACACACTCCCACACAATGACTCCGAAAACCAAATTTAGACGCATCGAAGTTAACTTTTCCATCACTTCACGAAAAACGCTTCAACTTACGATAAAGGTGTCGCGGCCTGCCAGATTCATGTTGAAGTTTCATGAAAACAGGTGACTAAAGAATCCGATCAAATACCTATGGACGATGATAAAATGATCGACGAAGCCATTTCTCGCAGCTGCATATTCATGACAGATCACAAGGTACACTGACCTAATGTCACCTGACCAGAACACGCTCCTTGGCCTTTTCGTTCGCGGCGACTTCACCCTGAACACTGTCACCATCCTCACTAGTCCCCGCTGCACCACTACGGTCACCAACAGTCCCTGTCATTCTGTCACCAACGTCACCACCGGTCGTTACAGTCCTTGTATCACCGTCACCACCAGCGTCCGTCGTGGTCTCACGATCACCGTTCCCGCCCTCCTCCGTGAACCCACTGCTGAAATAGTCACTGACGAACCGATCGACACTCGTATGCACAGTGGCGGCATCCCCGTCGCCCGGCTCACGCCACTTCTCGAGCGTCAGCAGGCGGCGGCTGGCGCGTGCCGTCAGCGTCTGTTCACTGTTGGCCACCAGTCGGAGACAGGGGTGGCTGGGGAGCCGGTCGGCAGAGTACTGAGCGCGCGTCACAGGCAGCCAGAACACCAGCCGACCTCCCAGAGTCAGCCGGTCGGCGGCCAGTCGCAGCAGGTCGCCAAACAGCGCTCCGGGCCCATAGGCCACCTTGGAGGGGAAGTGAGCGGCGCGGTGCTGCGCCGGGATGGCGCCGCCGGACGGCCGCGCCGAGCCCACCCGCTCGGTCGGCTCTCGGATGCCGTACGGCGGGTCGGTGATGATGGCGTCCACAGTGACGCCGCGCCGCCACAGCGCCGGGAGCGCCGCGTCCGCCACCAGCACGTCCACCAGGCGGGACTGCAGGCCGTACTGCCGCAGGTTGGCCGCGATACTCTCACCCGCCCCGCGCCGCCGACCGCGCTCCTGCACCCGCGACGGCCGCGTCCGCGCGTGCACCGTCAGGTAGTCGATGTCTGTGCCGAGCACGTGGCCACCGAAGTGGGCAGCCGCCACCAGTAGCGAGCCCGTGCCCACGAACGGATCGTAGACGGTGTCGCCGGACCGGACCCGCGCCATGTTGGCCATGATCAGCGCTAGCTCCGGGTCCATGCTCGTGTTGCCGATGTAGGCGCGCGTTTTGAGCGAGTGCGCCTTGATGGCTGCGCGCGGCCCGTCGCACAGCCAGCGACCGAAGAACAGTTGCAGCGGCCGTTCGGGCACCCGGTTCGGGTCCAGGCCGTAGTACTCGATAGTGTCTAGCCGCAGGTCGGGGTGCCGCAGCCGGACCGGCCCCTCCAGCGGCAGATAGTCAAACGACTCCACGCGCGCCACCTTGGCCTCGTGCGACAGCGTCCGGTTGAACGACTCAACGTTCACCTTGAAGGAGGTCTCGGGGCCGAAGTGGGGCAGCATGGTGTCGGGATGGTCGAGCAGTCGCTGACGCAGCTGTCGGTGAAGCTCCTCCTCAGAGTCTGCTGCCGCCCACAGCTCCAGGCAGCACTTGACGGCTACGGTGCGCTGTGCCAGTCGACGGGCGTCTGCTTCACTGGCCAGCCGTACCTCCAGGTACGGCGTGGCGGTGACAGAGCCCGTCCAGTGGGCTGTCAGACCCAGCAGAGAGAGCACGGCGCGCAGCTCGGGCTCGCGGAACTCGGTCAGCTCGTTGGAGAAGCACAGCAGGTAGGTGCGGTCCGAGTCGGTCCCGACTGCTGCGGGAGAGCGGGTCTCGGCCGCCATCTCACTAGGACGGTCTGACGCACCGCTGGCAGACACTACCCACGAGCCACACCGCACTATCTACGCTGACGCGCTGCCGGAAAGACATTTGGATAGTGTTAACTGAAAGATGTTTCATAACCCAATACATTTTCTAGCACGTGGAATCAAACATATCTTTACCATAGGACATAGGTACCTGTAAGAGGAATCTTAATCATATCATTTGTTTGCTGACTGGTGAACAGAATCAAATCAGCTAGTTAAATAATGGTAAAAAATAACCTAACCTGAATGTTTTCAGAATGTGAATCATTCATGGAAGTCCTATAGGACTTCCATTCCAAAACTTCCAGTCCAAAACTAATAAAAAAGAATGGAGATTTGTCCAAAAATAAGCTTTGGATCATAATGCAAAGTGCAGATCATGACAATATAATCAACAGCATCTTGTCAGGGTAGGGGCATTCAGCCAGTGCACACACAGTGCATAATTCCTGTGGAACTGTGCAGGTCTTACAAGCAGTGGTGCAGACCCTAACTAGGCACTATGCTGAAATACTGTGATGGTGCCGCATTGTCCAAGAAAATTATGTTCCCCACTCAGACACAATCAGTATCCATAGATAATCACTCTTTTATTGCAATTGACCAGCAGAAAAAAATATCTTAAATTTCCATGATATGTTGAATACAGCCTGTTTGAAGCAAAGTTCCAGCCTGGTTGGTATTGACTAAGGTGGACTTGTCACCCTGGATGGCCAGTAAGGCTCATCTGACTGAACTACCATGGTCTGCAGTCTGAGCTGTGGGTAAGATAGTGCACCTGACCGCTCTAGGACTTGAGCTTGTCATGAATGTTTGAGGCATATTCACACCAGCCTTGTTACTATTGAGTCATACTCATGACTCACCAGTCTTGTTTCCAGTCAGAGAACACCATCAACACTCACAGGCCACAGGCACAGCCCAAGCCCGAAGCCATGACTGTGGGGGATGGAGGAGAAACTAAGAGTGAAATATGAGCAAGAATGAGAGAAAATACCAGAGAGCTGTTCACGGGCCCTGTGTGTGATAGGACCATACAAAGGCTCCCAGCTCAAGCTGCTCTGCCCACTGCCTCCAATGTCATCCTCCCATCATCTCACTCAGTCAGCGACCGCTGTGGCCGCTTGGGACCAGCCACGGCGTTGGCTGTGTGCAGTCCACCAGACACAGCCATGTAAGTTAACATCATACTGACTACCTACCCATCCCCTACCCTATGGCTTTGCCCCTACCCCCACGCCTGATGCGCTGCACACACCACAATCAGCAGTTTGCGGTGCCCGTGAACAGCGATCAGGTGCGTAAGAACAAAAAAAAATGATAATTACTATGAGTACGCTTTGTGACTTATGCTTGTCAGGTGAGAACATTAAGGGTGCGTTTCACGCGTAACGCTATGAGAAACGTTTTTCGTAAATAGCTAGAGCATCGTTGCTTCGATTGCCTTTGTTTTTGGATATTTTATGAAGGACATTAACCTCGTCATCACAGAGTGGTTACCGTTGTTCTGCAATCCACATATACTGAGCAATTTAGACAAACATATTGCAAAATCAAAATTTCAAACGAATAGAACTCAATAACGGATTGTCGTACGACTGTGATGTTTGCAGTTTTGGACTGACCAAGTCAAGGAAAACATTTCCTAGCAAGCCTTTTTTCAAATTTTGTACTATGTTTTGCATGATACAATTTTCATCTTGCAGTGCATTGCATGAAAGCCATGACAACAATTTCAAAAATGTGGCTGCTAGGAATCATAAAGACATCAATTCTCTACACAATCCTGTAGAGTGAATCATCATTGCATGCATCACTATGCAGTTCTATTCATTTGAAAGTCATTGCACAGCTAGTTCATAAAATCGCCGAGAGATGTCTCTGGCTGTATGGCCCGTGCGTTTCGACGGTCCCCTCGGCCCGTCACTCAGCGGCGTTTGTTGACACAGTGTCACACCCATTAGTTACGGCGCTCCGCTGGCGTTTGGCCGCCGTCGAGGTGCCCTGAACCCTCCCTGCTAAGTTTCGCCGTGACCAGACGGGTCGGAGACTCATCCCACGATCTATCCATGAGCGGCGCCCAGCCAGGCGTCTCCTATCGCGCGCCTCTCACTCTTGATCGGGAGTGCGCCGGGAAGAGCTTGTGAGAAACTAGCAACTTTGAAAGATGTCACAAGTTTGTGTGAGTGGTAAATTACGAACAGCGAACTGGTATATTTTGACAATAGGTATTTGACCTGACCTGGGCAGTCCGTAGCCCGTATTTGACCTGACCTGGGCAGTCCGTACTGAACATAAATAATGAAAATAACCAGCAATGCCTACAAATTCCATGGAGATATTAGACCCTTAGTGACGTGAGACCGAATATCAGTTCGACTGTTATGTCAAAACCCTCGCAGGGTATTTTTCATACCCCTCCCCCGGCGTTTCGAAACTTAGCGTCGTAGCTCGCTTCGCAACAAAGAGTCGATGCAGTCGATTGCTCTCAACGAGTACCTACTCGCGATTGGTGGTATATTTTTTACCCTAATTCAATATTTGACCCAGTTATGGCAGGTCAAAGTTCAAATTTCGGGGAAAGCTGCAATTATCCAATCTTTTTAGCCAATATTGGCGAATCTATGAAAGATAGCGACATGAAACCTTCATGACCGTGTTTCTCAACGAATTAGCAACAAAATGATGAATAATTGATTGAATTTCAGTCAAAATAGCGTCTCTAGAGATAATTTTCACGTATCACTTTTGAAGCAATAAAGCTAGGCAAAAACTGCATAATAGCAATTAGCAGCATCGTAATCCTCTCGTAATTTCGCCTCGTAGCATATATGTGTTGACTTCGAAAGGTCAAGGTCAAAGATTGACCTCGGATCACATAACCAAGACGCACACTGGTGTGGCTATTTTTTGCCCCCCCCCCGTATCTCCGTAACTATTGGACGGATTCGCAAAACTCGAACGGCGTTCGATAGCCCTGTTGCCTTGAGAAAATTAATTTCATTGACCTCAGGTCACTGATGACGTCACAGGTCAGGTCAAAGTTAAAAATTTTCACCGTTCACGGGCCTTTTAGACCATGCGTTATAACATTGATTAAAAGGACTTTTATCGAAAATCATCGATAAAGCATTGGTTGCCTAGTACAGATGTTGCTAAAAGACGTCACTGATACCAGGTCAGGTAACCTATGTAGCTCGGTCAGGTCACCAAGGGTCAACAAATGAACCCAACTTTACTAGGGCCGTGTAATGCATGTTTTGTGGCCAATTTTTTCATTTCCAACTCAATGGTTTTGGTTAGACGGCCATGATTTAGGTTGGCCATGGCCAGGTTTAGGTTACTTTCTGGTGGAGGTTAGGTAAAGGTCTAGTAAAAAGGTCAAATTTCGAAGTTATACTTTTGCATAAAAAGGGTACCTATTTCGATGTACCTCATCACGGGGAATCCAATCGGTCGCAAAACGTCCTCAATTTTGCGACCGATACCCCCGAACCCGATTACGACACGCTGAAAAAGTTTTGTGATACAATTCGAAAGCTCCGACCCGAACGATTTCTTGGGGGATTTAAGTCCGGATGAACTTATAAGATTCCGAGACATAGGTACAAGTTGTAGCTACCAATGGCCTTATTACATCGTGCACTGCAACTTTCAAAGGACTCGGGCATCTACTGTAGTTCTGAAGTGGTGACAAAATTGCAAAAAAATGTTTTATAAAGCATATTCTTCTGTGCCTTCTGATGCGATAGTCCGGCACTATACAGTGTAGCTCATGCTGATAGCTCATGCAATAACCCGAGTTTCGAACATCTAGGATATACCTGAACTGGGTGACCTAAACTTCTGAGACCAGGGTTCCACAATTTCATACGCGATTAGAAATTGGTGTATGATAAGCTATGCCAAGTTTCGCGGCGCTTTTACGGGCAAAAATTGCAAGTTTGACCAAAAATGTCCCACATCCTCAAGCGATGATTAATGAAGCTAACACTATGAATGTGACTGAAGCTGCTTTCCTGTACCTCATTCTGTTAGCCTTTACATTTTTCCGATCTTTCCCTATCCGTGTGTGTCGGCGCGGGTTCGGCCCAATGTGGTTCGACTGAAAGCATGACATCTGGTCCTTTCCGCCCGGCCTGACCGGCGCGGCGGACCCGTGCCAATCCTCCCGAGCTCGCGGGGCGCGGATGGGGAGGGGCGGCCCGGCAGCCCAACCCCTCTGCGCTAACAGATGGATGGACAGGGGAAATGTGATACTTGTCCTATGACAACAAACCGGCGTTCGGCGCTAGGGCCATCTACTGGTCTAGAAACGTATCTCTATGTCGGCAAGATCCTCGCCAGGTGGTGTAAAGGTCGCGTGAAACGCACCCTTAAAGGAAATAGTTCACTTTCCTGAAATTAGTATTTTGCTATGGATTTATGTTTTTTTATGCTCATAATGATCAGAAAATAAAACAAAACGTTTTTGTAAAAAAGATTATTTTCTATATTTTAGTATAAGAAGAACTATATTCTATATAAAATAATGGTTGACGCGGAAGCTTATTACGCGTTGACCAATCATATTGCGTAGGACAAACCCATCGGCTGTAAGCAGCATTCTGATTGGCTGATGATGACGTGACTGCATTCCTCAGCAAGGCACGCATTCCTCTGCAAGGCACTCTTTTCGGAACGAAAAATGGAATATCTTCGTCTAGGGTGATCGTTGGGCCGTAAAAGCTTCTGATTTGTGCTAGTCTCAGCGCAAGCAACAAAACTGCTATTCCAGTTCCAAACCCCATGTTAAAAGTGAACTATTTCCTTTAATAAAAAAAACGTGTTTAGCTCAAGGTCACAATACGCACCCTTTGTTGCCACTTGCCTCCAATGCCAAAGGAAAAGGGATGCCTACAGAATTCAAACTCAGACTCCTCTTATTTTAAATGAACTTTTACAGAGTCCGAATATATAAGAATTTCCGTAAACGCCTCTCGACCCATCAACTACAAATATAACAATAATGCGGATTTCGTGCTTCAAGTGCAGCATGTGAATATTGAGACTCTGTTCTTCTGATAAGCAAAAACTGTGAATGCTGCAATAGCCCACAAGTTGCTAAGCGAGCCCCCAATAGTTGTCAAGCAAATAAGGATCGTGCGCTAACGCGACGTGCAATACCTGCTGACGAACATAAGTTATGACGCGCCACACGTCTCTAGCTAGCCATAACTGTATACTGAATCAGGGTCGTCAACCAAGAGCATAATAAATTCATACTTAATTATTTTCATTTTATTTTTCCTTCTTTTCCTTTTTCACATGGCTATTATTTTGCCATTTCAATGAAAATGCATTACAGCTCCAGCATTGAGATGGAACTACTATTAGAAATGAGCTTTTTTACACTGCCCAGTGCCCACCTTCTACCGCTGGAGGGGAGACCGCCCTCGAGGAGGACGTGTGATGGCTACACCGGAGGGCTGTTCACGGACCCTGTGTGCGGTCGGACCGCACACAGCCTCCAAGCTCCGCCCACTGCGTCCCTACGTCAGCCTTGCGTCACCGCACACAGCGACCGCTGTGGCCGGTCGGGACTGGCCACAGCGGACCGTCCACCGCACGCAGCCGTGACGTCAGAGCCGCCTACCCATCCCCTACCCCCACGCCTGCTGGACGTACCGCACACACCGCACGCAGCAGTGTGCGGTGCCCGTGAACACCCCTCGGGAACGCACGCGGCGGGCTCGAGATTGGCACTGAGGCCCTAACGCCTTCCACTTTCAACAATGTCATGTGGACCCAATGGCGCCGCCAGAAGGTTCATCAATTTCTCCGGATGAATCAAGAGTCCTTGCCCCTGGACCTCAGCGGCCCATCGTCTAGCGCCGCGCCGATGCACTGCTACCGACGCCACCGGACCGCACGTGCCGCTCGCAGTCGGCTCTGTTTACGTTACGATGACCCAGTACTCAGTAGTGCCGCGCAGTGGCCGGGTCCACTCCAAACAATGGGCCGACTTCGGCGTCACCGGACAGCGGCCTGCAGTTGGAAGCGATCGGTCGAGCGGAGGAGCCTTCCGTCCTCCGTCCGAGCGGCGCCGGGAGGGCTAGAAGTGCCCTCGCGCTCTTAGAAGCACCAGCGGTGCGTGAGCGTGATCCCCACCAATAACGGAACGCCGCGGCTGGCCTGAGCATTGTGGCGAGGTTCAGTCTCCTAGACTGTCCAGTGTCCACCAGGACGTCGATCGGTATGTTGTGGATTACGCTGTGTCTCGTGCCGACCCTGGTCGCCGCCGAGGACCAGCTGTCGGCCGTGGAGCAGCAGCGGCGGCAGCTGACCTCCGTCGACATACAGCCACCGGCGCACGTCATCTACGGCCTGCTGGTGGAGCCGTGGCTCAACAGCAGCTCGCGCCACGCCCGCCGTCTGCCGGAGCAGCCGCCGCCGGCGGACGATGAGGCCGCCCTCGCCGACCGTCGCCAGGCGCTGGTGGCAGTCGCCGTGGTCAGCGCGGCGCTGGAGCGGGCCGACACGGACGCCGCTGACAGGCTGCGGCGGGTACTGGCCGAGTACGACTCCGCGCCGGCCGACCAGCAGCACAGCCTGCTGAACAGCTCCCTGGCCGAGCTGGCCGAGCATCTGCACGCGCCCGTGATCCGGCTGGAGGCGCTGCTGATCGCCCAGCAGGCGCAGTTGGAGGCCGTCGCCGGGGCTGTTGCCGCGCTGCCGGACAGCTCAGACGCGCACGATGCCATCACGAGGTTCGTCAACTCGGTGACGGCCACGGTGGGACAGCGCGTGTCAGAGGCGGAGGTCACCATCAACCGACTGAGTGACTCCCTGAGACAACTGAACGAGTCCATCGCCAGCGACCGACCGACCAAACCCGACCGGTCTGAGAAGGAGGCCGACCCGGTCCCTGCACCACCCGGCCGCTGCTGCGACCAGCTCGAGGAGCGGCTCGCTCGGCTGGAGGCGGCAGCTGCTGACCGGGACCAGCTGGCCGAACGGTTAGACGCGGCGCTCGCCCGGCTGAGGGACCTGGAGGAGCGGCAGATGCTGCTGCCGCGGCCCAGTCCGGCAGTGCAGGGGGGCTGGCGGCCGGCTGGTTCAGTGGAGAAGGAGCAGGACCTTAGTACCGCCGGGTCGGAGCGGCTCGACACGCTGGTCGTCGGCCGCAGCGCCTCCACCGGGGAACAGGATATCATCACTGCCGACAGCCTGGTGACGGCCGACGACATCGGGGCGCAGGTGGTGCTGGGGCGCTCCATACAGGTCGCAGACAGGTGGGTACACGTCACACGACACACCTCAGTTTCCTCAGCAAGTCAATCATTCAGCGTCAGTCAGTCAGTGACGGACTGCCAGCCGGTCGGTTGGTCGGTCAGTCAGATTTTGCCGAACAAATGACCGTCAATAACAAGCAGAACCAACAGTCAATCACAATTACGTCGGACTAAGCCGCAGCTTATCGCTCAGAGCAGTATAGGTGAGACGAGTTATTGTCAGCCCCCGAACATTTTTTTTTTCAAGACCCAAGATATGTCAAAGAGCTTGTGGCGCGAATGTTAGATAATGTTTGGCGTTGAGCTATTGTCATGGAATTACATCGTGCGTGCTGCAAAAATGCGTCGCCCGTCCCCGCTCTAACCACAATTCCCCTCTGTTGCGGCAGCGCCGGTGCGCGGACGCGGAGCGGACTGCCCCCTCAGACTCCTGTGGCCTCCGGTCGCAGTCTGCACAGTCTGCTGCTGGGGGGCGGCACCCCGGACCGACCCGACACCAGTGGGTGGCGACCGCTGAACACCGGAGCTGCCGCCGAGCGGCGGTCCCGTCTGCTGCCGGCCTCGGGTGGACCGGGGAACACTGCAAACAGTGGACAGCCGGCCTCAGCAGAGACGGCAGACAGTGGTGAGACAGAAGACACGGCGGAGAGTGGCGAGACATCCGAAACATCCGAGACACCGAGCGGTGAGGTGACGCCAGACACAGCAGATCCAACCGAGTCGCAGTCAGCCGACACGCCTGTCCCAGCCGAGGCGTCCGCGCGGGCCGCTGCCGCCGCCGCCGCTGCTGCTGCTGGTGACCAGACAGCTGAGCCCAGTGAGCTGTCACCGGCGGTGGCTGCGGCCGGAGTGGCGCCGAGACGAGGGCGGCCGGCGGGACCGTCCGTGAGCCGGCCTCAGTCACCGTCCATAAGCCGGCCTCGGTCGTCTGTTTCCCGGCCCCCGCCGTCTGTGATTCGACCTCCTCAGCCGGTGGCCCAGTCGCGTCAGGGCCGCATCGGGCCCGATCTAGGCACTGACGGGTATGTTCGCGGCTCGGGCCGACCGTTCCAATGCCAGCCGACAGCTCTGTATGTCCGACTGCCGGGTATGTACGAGTGGTGTCAGTTCAACTGTCCCATCTACTGCCCGCCCTCACACTGCCGCTGTCAGGGGTTCAGGGGTTAGAAAGTCTACAGTGCTATAGCTGCCGCTCTATACTTACGTAGCAAGAACTGGCGGCGCTGCCTTCTGTTTAGCGACGTCGTTCGGTACACGTTCGCGATCACAATTCAGTCAGTGCCAGAACAACCATCGTGTCGTCCTTGCCGTCTTGGTAATATCGTCACTCAGTGCGCATTGCGTAACGCTCCACTCAATGCGAGGTTCTCCAGTCACAATCTCAGATGTGATTGCCGCTGAAGCGCCCTGTATTTGCCGCCGTACCGCCCCATGCCCCGCAGAGAAGCACCAGCCCCGGTCATAACATTGCCGTCAGCCCGCTGTTAGAACGACTGGCCGACCTAGCGCCCAGATCCCGGCCCGTCACTGCAGCGTATACACACACGATACATCCCTCGGGCGTGTGTATGGCGCGCGCACTGGCCGGGCCGCAGCCGGCACACCTTATCACACGGCCGGAGTATGGGCGCACACAGCGCAGCTCCGGCACCGGCAGGCCGCCCGCCACCACAGCACACCGCCAACCAACAGACCGCACCGCCGCGACGGCGGGTACACGTACAAAACTGAGCGGGCGGCGCCAGCCAGCCCGCCGCTGGCCTGGGCACAGGCTCGGACCCGATCGGCGCCTGAAGCAAACAACAAACGGCCAGGGACGACCAAACGAGGCGTGCCACCGAACTAACACACAAGCTGCCCTGAGCCTGGATACTTGCACAGTTTATCGTAATAGCTAAAAGCGACACCTGATTTAAGGAAGCATACACGTTACCCGGGCTGAGTCCCTTGGTTACATGAGCACCAACGTCTCGGCGGCGGGCCTCGTTTGATCGTCCCTGTCCCGCGGCACGGTAGGCAGACACAGACGCGGTGACGGCGAGCTACCCCCCCCCCCCCGCCCCTGCCGTATACGGTCAGAGGGGAGGGACGGCGCGCGACACCGCTAGAAGACGCCATAGGTACTCAGTGATAGGTCTCAGGTGGGCGGTCATACCGGCAAACGAATACACACTAGTCCGGCGGACAACAAAATATGACTGTGTTACGTATGTCTCGTAAAACGGCGATCCGGCGAGTCAGATCAATAACGGAGCTAGCGCCGCGCGTGGACGCGCATTTTAGTAATAAAAATAAAACGCATTCGAGTAAATAGGCACTGCACATCATTTGATTCGACGCCCTCCCGCTCATGACACTTCAAATGGTACAGGTCGTTAACTTGACTTTGCCCTGAGCAACATAGCGTCTCGGTACATATCGTGGCACGGCACGCCAAAATACTTAACACAAATACGGTATTTTGACTGTACAGATTCAGCGTCGCTACGCAACTGAGCAAGCATGGAACGGTCGGTATTTGACTGTGCTACGGTGTCGGCCTACGGCTCAATATGTCTGGGTGGAGTATGTCATAATTCCAGGTCATTTATCGTATAAACATAGGCATCCAATACGAAGAGATGATATGCAGAATCATCACATCAAATCTTCAGAACTCTATTTCAATGCACGGTGCTTTGATTTGAGTACAGATTCCAGTACTGGTTTGCTGTTGTGTGTGTTTCTCTGGCCAAACAGAGCGGCTGGTGGCGGCCGGTGGGTGCTGACTCCTCTGTACGGGGTAGTGGTGCCGCCCCGTCCGACTCACGGTATCCAGTCGGACTGAGCGGGTGACGCGGGGGCGGCGCACCGGCCGGCCGGCGGGCCTCACTTGCAGCTGAGCGGCGCCGGCCGGCCCAGGCGCGGTCAGGTCATCAGCATGCCCACCCGGCCGGCCAGGCTGGAGACGATGGCCGGCACGATGGAGAAGCCGGCCGGCGCGCCCGTGGTGCGCTGCGACAGCGGGCCCGTCTTCAGGCCGACTGCCGAGCTGTACGACTGCAGGAACAGACAGCGGACCGCGCGCAGCCGGGACGACCGTCTGTGGAGCATAGACATGACGTCACGAAACCGAACTGCCACACTACACAGACACACCATACGCAGTCGGGACGACCGTCTGGGGAACACACAATAATGATGTCACGGGATTCAACTGCCACACTAGGTACACGGAACACATGGATCGCAGCCGAATATATGGCCGTCCTGGGGAGACACAGTAATTACGTCACACTTCACAGGAACGAATAGTGAGACTGACAAGAGTGAGAGAGCAGACACGGTATCGCTCACATACGGAAGAGCAGCTGTGCTAAACACATGAATGGTATGACGACGTTCTGGTTGTGTCAATAGATCAACCGTTTGATGCAGTGCCACTAACCTGGTTTCTGGCTGCTGCTCGGTGCTCTGTTCGCCGGATTCGTCGATTAGTGTCGTGGTGGACTCAGTGAATTCGTGACCCATCGAATTGCTGAAAATAACAGAAGACAGCTAAAAACATAGTGAATGACCGATAAAATGTACTCCAGTTTTGAAAGGTAACTGCCTATTCGCGGGGATACCAACGTCAAGCATTGCGAGGAATGCCGCCTGGCAGTAGGGGAGAGTGGGGAAAGATGCCCAGGGTTTTGCTATGTCATATATTATTCGAAAATGACGATCGGAAAGCAAAAACTTGGAGTTTCTACGGAAGCCGACATCATTTTTCTCCAAAAATATCACACTTTCGTGCCTGAAATATGATAACTTTTTTTTGCTATTAAGCATTTTCCTGAAGAAGTGAAAGGGGGCATCGTACCCCACAGGGTGGGAAAGACGCCCCCTGGCGTTGGGGAAGATGCCCCCTGCACTATAAGTGACATAAATGAGCACGTGAATCGCCTGAACGAATCAGTAGTCCCTTCGAGCCTGCAGTAGACACCAAACCTCATCGTAAGGGCCCTCAAAAGTAGTCTTAAGGGGCTTCAGAGGTCATCGTTAGGGCCATCATAGTCCAGCGCCGCCAAACAAGCCTCCGTGGTGGCGTTCGGAGACCACTGTGGGGCCCTTATAGGTCTTCATGATGCTTGAGGGCCCTCGAGCCCATCGTGGGGACCTCAGATGCCAGCGAGGCCCGTGGAGCCAACGTGGGAGCCCTCAAAGGATGTCGTGAGGGGCCCTGGAGCCAATAATGGGGCCCACAGAGGCCGTCGTGAGGGCTCTCAGAGTCAGATGCCGCCCAAAAAGTCGCTGTGTGGGCCGAGAGACCGGCATGGGGAGCACCCGACCGTACTGGACTCTCAATAGTCCCAGATCGGCTTTTGTCTCTCATCACAAGTATGTAATAAACGATTTGACGGGCTGCTTGATGGACAGCCTACGGATTTAGGGGGGCGTCTTTCCCCGTCAGAAGAGGGGGCATCTTACCCCAAGGTACCGAAGTAACATTAAATCAGTACAATTTGTTAGCCATAAAACTTCACCCTGAAACAAACTATTTAGGACACAGTACACGCATGTTAACCCGCGAGTTGCTGGGGGGGGGGGCGTTAAACGCCCCCACTTTTTTCGCCGGGCCATAGCATAAAAACAGCGCGCCGCAGGCGCGCCAAATTTTAGGTACCTGTAGGGAATTGATTGAAGTTTATTGTGGCAAAGTTTCAAAAAAATCGGTCGGAAAATTTTTGAGATATCGAGGTTTTAGTGACGTCATGATTTATGAGTTTTCGACCAAAAACGGCATATGTTCAAAAAATCATATAAAATCACAGAATAGACATACAGACATGCCGTAAACGCCATTAGACTGCCAATACCATGATCAATCAAATGGCTATCTTCGATTATTGATTATCGTTCCGTATTTTCCATAATCTTGAACTGAATCTTGGCAATTTTTCGTGACCACTTCGCGACCATGATACATGCATTTCTTAAATTGAACTTTTTGAGCCAAACACGTACACATATGATAAAATGAATGTCACCATCGTGTTCTACGCCCCAAATTACCTATTAAACATGTGTCACAGGCTGCGAATATCAGTTTTGATTTTCGGGGATTTGTGCCTACCCGGTTGACCTGACCTTGACCCTGACCTATGCTTGACTGACCCCTACATGGGGCTGACACTCTTGTAGGCCTTATATGATGGATTGTGCACCGTTTTGACAGAGTTTATGACGAGAGGCGCCCATTGCGAAGTCCTGAAGTCCGTGCTACTGAAAGCCCGATTTCAGGTGTTTGACCTGACCTTGACCCGACCTGTGACCTCAAAATTCAACTTTAAAGTACTCATCTGAAGCGTCTCGTCGCGTTCTTTCGTTTGCCGCCTCGTGCGTTTCGCTGCGCCTATTGGTTCTCGAGTTATCGGCTGGGGGCGTTTAACGCCCCCCCCCCCCCCCAGCAAACGGTGGGTGGCAAAATACCCCAGCAACTGCCGGGTTAAAGGAAAAGGGCCACCTTCGTGAAATATGAAGATATCGTTGTTTTTCATTTTGACATTATTATTTTTCATTTTCTTTTTAAAACTGGTGCCAGAAGTGCACAATTCGCGAAAAAGTATTTAAAACTATTTAACATATTGGTACTATGTTGATACTCTCTACGGCACCTACTGTATGATGGCATAGCGATGACGTCACACTCAAGCCAATCAGCGTTCAGAAGACAGACTCGTCGGATTGTGTCAGATAAGCTGATTGGTTAAAGCTGAGCTGGTTGGAGCTGATTGGTAAAAAACCAAAGCCTCGCCGCGGGTGGCTGTATTGTCGGATAAGAACGCATTCCTGGGATAAGGACGCATTCCTGGCGTATTTTCTTTTAAAATTGCCGATAACTACGAATGGAGGCCGAAATCGGCCGTAAGGGGGTAGACAGATAGGTTTTCGGACACGGGCTACAAGATGGCTATCTCAGTTTTAATCCCCATGTTAAAGGTGGCCCTTTTCCTTTAATGTATCACGACTATAGCAAGGGACGCAAAAATTATCTACCTTCTTTGATATTTACAATGTTTTGACACCAAAATATTTTTTGAAAGCAACAAATAAAAAACATGCAATCACCAGCCAGCCGTTGCCCAACTGAGCTTCGCAAATTTGTGTGCAGTTAACAAGGCAGGCTTCCGCTTTACGCTAAGAACATTAATTTCCAGGTTCGATTTTTTGTTTCGCCGCTAGAGGGGGTGGGGCGTCTTTCCCACCCTGGGCATCTTACCCCACTCTCCCCTAATATCAGATGATACGGTATGAATCCTTAGCTAACTGCAGGAGTGGCCTGTCAGCCGCAGCACATAAACACAATACCACACACAGGATCGTATGGATCAGTCTCACTAGCTGCTGCCGCGAGAGTGTATACCTAGACGACCCAGGTGACCCACAAAACACTGCCACCATATCACACAGACAATGCTACGGGTGATCATGGAATGATGGTTAGTTTCACTTACTAGCTGCTGCGGGAGTGTGTTGACGATCCATGTGATCCGGAGCCGTTCACAGAGCCGGACCCAGTGATCAGCTGCCAGCTGCGGGCCGGACGGGGACACCGAGCGGTCAGACGGGGAATGACAGCTGGGCCCAAACAATCTCACACGCAAACACTTATAAAAAACAGCATGGCAGCAGCTCGAAGAAGAGGTAATCACTGCGATCCACCCGAGCGTGCCTCTTCATGCATGAAAGGAACAGGGTGATAATTCAGACTACTACTTAGAATGAAAAATCGGTCAGCCGTCAGGCGATTGATAACGCCTGCAGACAAGTTACCTACTCAGTAATCGCCAATCACATCCAACCTTCCCTGAAATCCACCATCAGCGCCCACCCCTCCCCATCGTCCCCCATCCTCCCCCACCGCGCACATACCTGCCCACGGAGCCGCAGCTCTCGTGCCGCGCCCGACTGCCCCCGGCTCCTGTCGGTACCGTCACGGGACTGGTGCGGGGCTCGTGGTAGGAGCCGCCGCTGAACGACCCCGCCTCGGAGCGGCACGGCCGCAGCTCCGGCCGACTCACCCAGTCGCGCTGCCGGGGACACGGCGGGGCAGAGGGTGAGAGGGGGCGGGGAAGTGAGAGGTGGGATCGACCAGGCAATGCTAGGGACCAGAGGCCAGTTTTACCAACAGAAAGATAGCCGCCTGCCGGTATTTTTTTCAGACCGCTTCACATACAAAGCGTAAACGCGATGAGCATATAAGCAGATAGGGCCCTATAACCGTTTACGCTCTGTATGTGAAGCGGTCTCTAGGCAAAAAATTCCGGCAGGCGGCTATTTTTCTGTTGGTAAAACTGGCCTCAGCTGTCGAGACATCGAAATACGCAGTCAAGCAAATAAAGCTGGGAATAGCACAGCATGACTAAGTGCCGATGACTCAGTTATATGACATAAGAAGTTCCGTGGTATTTGACACAACCGCTGACATCCTGTGAGACAAAATACCAGCACCGCTCAATCCTGCTGCCAAAAGACGTTGAGTTATTCTGACGGCCGCGTGCCACTCTGGCTGCTCTCACCTGTTCTGGTAGCGACTCCAGCGAGCCGGAGCCCTGACGTTCGAGCAGGCGCACCTTCCGCTCGGCCCGCCGCCGTGCCGCCGGGGAGGGCGAGGGCGAGCAGTCGGCCGGTCGCAGCTCTACCGTCTGGTAGCTACCGACCACCGGCGGGGGCGGGGGCGGTG